CACAAAAGAAGACAAATGGTTTTGCGGGTTCGCACCCTGCACAGCTCTCACAAGCAGCAGGCCTCCCCACCACCGAACCCCCACCTCTTTCCCCCTTCACTGCCCAGGGCTTGTGCCAAACTCATTTCACAAGACCAGACCTGCAGGAGCACGTTCAAGGATTTGGCAACCTGCTGACTTCTTTGGGGTTTCCCTCATTAGACCCTAAGCTCTGGGCTCCCTCTGACCCAATTAGAGCAACCTGGCATCACAGCCCGCCACAGACACGGGAAGCGGGTGCCAGGTTCCAGGGGGCTGCCAACGGCAGAACGTTAAGTGTGACAGTACAATGTGTAGGCAGTACAATGTGTAGGCGTGGAGCCTGCTCGCCTATCCTCCCCTCTGCCCCCATCTCTCCGGGCTTTCTCTGGACCACTAGCCAGCTCCTCTGGGGCAACTCTAGTCCTAGGAACAGGCAAGTGGGGGTGGAGGGCAAGTTCTGTATCCCTAAGGCTCTAGATGCAGCAACAAATGAGCATGAGTGGCCCTGGATTCCATTACAGCAACACACACACACACACACACACACACACACACACGCTGCTTGCTAACATACTGGGAAATGGGTATGCAGCCTGGAGTCCCCAGCTCAAAGCTCCTCTAGAAGCTGCGGTTGGAGGCAGCCCCCCCCCCACCCTGCGCCCCCAGCAACAGAGTAAAGATGAAGGTTCCTTGAATAGAACCCAGTACAGAGTCCTATCACACCCCAGGCAAGTGGCAGGAGGTCACAGGGCTGCTGAGATGCTGACCACAGACAGACAGCTTTAGGGGACAGTACAAAAACAGCAAACGGGTAGCTGGATGCTTTGTTCAGCAGTCTGGGCTCCTAAGACTGTATACTCTGCTGCCCCTCCTGGGGGGAGGGCAGAGGTCAGGAAGCCCCCACAGAGAGCATCAACACTGGCTACCACATCAAGATGAGCTTGCTCCAGTGTGGAAGATCTGCTTGTCATGGCAGCCTTGGCTACTGGGAACTGAGTTTCCATTGCTCTTCAAAACCAGAAGAGACATGCCCAGTGGTTAGGGCAGGATGCAGAGCAGCCTGCGGTGGGGGGGGGGCGTTGAATAAAGTGGGCTTTTGACTTCTCTGGGGTTCCCTGACACCAAGGTGTGACCACTGCATACACACAGTTGGGGTTTGTCTGATATTTTCAAATCAATCACCCACCCAGTTTCCACCTGCCTTCTTGGAGTGTGGCTGCAGATGAAGCAACTGCCTGACTTGGGGGGGGGGGGGGGCGTCATGGGCCCAGCTCTGCTGTGTGATCTTGAGGAAGCTACTTAATATCTCTGAACTTAATTTGTTGTTTATGTAGCACCCCCACCAAGTCTGAGACCTGGATGTCTCTGTCACCAATAACCAGGGCTCACCACAGCGTGCTCTACTGAGAGACAAAGTCTCACCCTATCCTACAGCCCTCATCCAAGGTCATTCAGCAAGAAACAGAAAATGGCCAGGCCATGTGTGGCCACTCAAAAGTGACAAAGGATTGTGGGTTGCCCTATGTTGTTATCCTCAACATACTCAAGCCAGCTCCCTGGGCACCCTGCCCAGTTCTGTTTCTGCAGGCTAGGAGCCCCTCCACAGGGAATATGCCAGCCAGACACTTTTCAGCTTGTAAACTGTTATTAAGGAGCCAATAAACTTGATTTCCCAGAACTCTGCCCTGAGGCATCCTACTTCCCTAGGAAGATGCTAGCCCCAGACACAAATGCTTACCAGGGATACAGGGCACTTAGACACAGGACAATCCAAGCTGTGTCCGTAGCAGGTGAACCTTCAATGTGACCGCCCACCACTCTGCCCACACCTCACTCTGGGGCAGTGCAGGACTCTAATGTTGGAGAATGAGGCAGGCTGGTAATCAGAGCCAGGGCTCACATGTGGCCTGGCTACCCTGCCACAGTTCCCTCTGCTATGAGATGAGGTGACATTCACTCCAAGGAGGGCAGACCCTGTACATTTAATGCACAAGCAATAGCTAACTGATGGCTCTTCCCCCGTATCTGAGCTTTACCATCATGGCCCACGTGGTCTACTTATGAGCCAAGAGACATGTGTCAGGGTTCTTTCTGATGGGCGGGAAAACAAAAATCAAGGCTCAACAATTTTAAGTCCAGATCTAGATCCCACATTCAGAAAATGGTGAAGCTGCAACCTGCTAGGGTCTTACTTACTTATTTGTTTATTTGCTTGTTGCTTTGGTCTTTCCAAACAGGGTTTCTCTGTGTAGCTCTGGCTAACCTGGAACTCACTCTGTAGACCAGGCTGGCCTCGAACTCACAGAGATCCACCTGCCTCTGCCTCCTGGGTGCTGGGATTAAAAGCATGCGCCTCTGCCACCTGGCAAGCTTTTTTTTAATTTTTATTTATTTATTTATTTTTATTTTATTTTTTTTTTTGGTTTTTCGAGACAGGGTTTCTCTGTGTAGCTTTGGAGCCTATCCTGGCACTCGCTCTGTAGACCAGGCTGGCCTTAAACTCACAGAGATCCACCTGCCTCTGCCTCCCAAGTGCTGGGATTAAAGGCGTGCACCACCAATGCCCAGCTCTTTTTTTAAAATTTTTTTAAAGATTTACTTTTATTATTACTTTTGCTGTGTGTGTACGGGTATTTTACCTGCATGTATGTCTGCACAATAGGTAAACAAAGTGCCTGTGGAGGCTAGGGAAGGGTGTTGGGTGCTCTGGAAACAGAATTATAGATGGCTGCAAGCCACCGTGTGGATGCTGGGAATAGAATCCAAGTTTTCTGCAAGAACAGCCAGTGCTCTCAACTGCTGAGCTGCCTCTCCACCAGTTCTTCAACCTACCACTCTGGGAACATGAAACGCCTCGCGGCAAAGGGACTTCTCTGGAATGGCAGCTCACTCTAAGTAGACTGAGTGCAAAGACCTTTGGCTCATGAACCCCTCCTCCACCATCCAGAACAGGTGCCTATGAGTGGCAACACCTACTGCTTGGGGGAGCACTCCTCAGCTTATCAGGGCTTTCACAAACATTATCTCATTAACTGAAGCAGGGCTGAGGCAGCTGTTATTATGCCACCCGGCTGATAAAGTCCCTTAGGCCTCAGCTGAGCCTTCAGTTTTCAGTCCTGTTTCTACCCAGAATCCCATGGCAGATTCCCCACCCTTCAGGGACCCACCTGGAGAGGGAAAAGGCATCCTGTGCCAGGGACCGGGGCAGACAGCACCCCTGTACTAGCTGTGATACTGTGGACATGGGCTCAGTGGCCACCTATTGAGGCAGAGGAGCAGGGCTCTGCAACATAGCCCCAGCCCCAAGGGGTTCTCTGCCTCAGACACAGCTCTTTTTAGGATTCAGAAGACCTGGGTGTGCTTTCTCATCTGACACCCCGAGAGCCTACAAGGCATGGTCTCTCCAAAGATGCAAATCTGTGCCATGCACAGCAACCTCTCTCCAAACACGAATAATCTCAGGAGTGTCATGATGGCTCACTTCTGTGTCCCCACCCACAATCCTCCATTGTACATCTAGAGAAACTGAGGCACTCTCACAGACCCGAGTCTGCTGCCCCAATATCTTGCCTCCTGGTCCTTGAGCTTGGGAATCACCTGCCCGTCTGGTTAACCACTGTGTCTATCTCACACCCTGCCAGGACTCACTTGGCTCAAGCCACTATGCGGGACGGGCACAGACAGACTGAAACTGCCTTCCAGCAGCTTTTAAACCTCAAATGTTTGCACCTGGGCCTCCCCACCCCCGACTAAATCTTGGTCAAGGGAGGTGACACCCAGCAACTCTCCATAGCTCCCCAAAGATGTGGAGAAGGTTTTTCTTTATGTGAGCTTGTTGCCTGGGGAGACCAAGGATACTTGGGGGCAGTCCTAGAAAAACCTTCACTCTTCCCAACAGCAAGGCTGGCTCTTCTAGTGAGGCTGCCTGTGTGCCAAGAGCTGCCCGTCCTAGCAGTGTCCCTGTCCCAGGGCCGTGCTGGCTGTTGAGGTCAGCCAGCACTCGAGAGTGCTGAGTCCGAGCCCTCCTCCCCCAGCCTGTCTGAGCTGGACGGGAAACTAGGAGCTGCTCCCAACAACGCAGATGGTGAGGTCACTTTGGAAATCCCCTCAGGCAATGGGGCAATACCTAGGCAGGATCCCACGAGTCTCAAGGGACACGTTGGGTTGGGTTTGGGGGTTGGGGGACTGCCTGAAGAACACCCAGCTCCCATATGCTGTGTGAGGGGACCCAGGCCCAGAGGACAGCATCAAGTCACAAGAAGACAAGCATACACATTTTGACTTTTTCCTGCTGTCATCCTGATGCCTGTCTGAGACACAGTTTATACAAGTAATGGAACTGGAGAGATGGCTCCACAGTTAATAGCACTGGCTGCTCCTCCAGAGGACCTGGATTTAATTCCCAGCAACCACCCACATGGCAGCTCACCACCACCTGTAACTCCAGTTCCAGGGGATCCCACACCTTCCTCTGGCTTCAGCAAGCATCAAGCATACACAAGCTGCACAGACATACATGCAGGAAACACACCACACACACACACACACACACACACACACACACACACACACACAGAGGCAATGTCCATAGTTTAGGTCACAGGAAATGTATCAGTGAGCCCAAAGCAGGACCGAGAGCCCAGGGTTCCTCCTGAGCTTGCTGCTGTGATTTATCCCGGCTCTTTCAGCTCTTTAGAAGCCTCCTTCCCAGGCAGCAGAGTGTATACAAGGTGTGGGGGGAGGGGGCCACTGAACAGAAGGAGCAAGGTTTGGGGTGGGTGGCTTTGAGGAAGTCTGGGTGTTTAGCTTTCTGCCTTCAGAGGCACATACATCAGGGGTAACTACTTTAAGTTATGTCCAGTTGAAAAGGTCTGGTCTGGTATTTTGAGACAGATTCTGTCATATAGTCCAGAATGGCCTCAAACTCACTCTATGGCTGAGGGTAACAAACTCTAATGCTGGGATTTCAAAGCACGTACCGCCAGATCTGGTGGCACAGCAGACTTTTATGGTAAAACGGCCAAAATCAACCAATCAATCAAAGACCCCTTTGCCTCCTTTCTCGCTCTACTGGGCTCCAAAGCAAGAAGTCTGAAACAGGACAAGCAGAGATGGAAATGTTAGTGACTGGGGAGAAAGGATCTGGCTGCCTCTTCTGGCCCTGCCCTACCTAGCTAGCAACACCCTCCACCTCCATTCCCAGAAAGCTAGGAGCCCAGGAGACCAGGAGCCCAACACAACAGTTTTTGGTCATCCCAAGGGGGCTCTGTTAGGACGGCTTTAACAGCCTTCATCCTTCACTGCCACACAGCAAATACAACAGGGCGGGAATCCAACTGGACTAGGATTCGTAACACCACAGAGGCAAGCTGGAAGGAAAGAGCGGGTAGCCATGGGGAATTAGGAGATCCGTTATTCCCTGGATGAAGCTTTCCTGGTGTAAATAACCAGAAGAGTTAGTTCTGTGTTTAGAAGGAAAATTCCAGTTGGTCACATGGCATCACCCATCCATGAGGCCTCAGCTTGTCCAGCTTTGGGAAACTGTGGGAGCAGAGCTTGGTCCTGCCCTTCCTCCATCTCCAGGGATATGTGAACTCAAGGGTTACTCTGGCTAGCCCTAGGCTTCTCCTGTGTGCTGAGCTATCCTAGGTGAAGTACTCCAGGCCTGCACTCTGAGAAAGCCCCTGTTCCCAGCTCCTCCACCAACGGGCCAGGAGCCAGCAGGCAAAAGACAGACTTGTAGCATCCAAGCAGGACACTTGCCAGGGCAAAGACTGCCCTTACACCCCCTTACCTCCCTCTCGTCTCATTGAGATTCGTCCTGGTTCTTCCCACAGCCCCTGGAGAAACTGAGGCAGGGAGAAGAATTCATAAGCAGTACCCCGATGGACCCGGTTACAGCATGGTTTCTCAGTAGTGACTTTTGGGGGGGCCCAATTCTGTGCTGTGGGGCTGACCTGTGTGTGCATTGTAGGGGGATCTTAGGTCTCAGCCACAACATGCTGGCAACATGTGCTTCCTTCCTGATTAGTGATAGCCAAGATGTCTCCAGGCATCGGCAGATACCCTTAGCAAGCAAAACCGCCCCCATGAGAACCCCTGCTCAAAACCAAGTTTCATCTCCCCGACCTACAGAGTCACAATAGCACAGCACAGACACTGAGGACTC